GGGGAGGGAAGTGCATGGGATTATGGTGATGGCACATGGGTGACTTGGTGATGGGAAACCCGCGGGGATTACAATTGAGATGGGAAAAAAATGTAAAAATAAACTGTTCTAAAATAAAAAAAAATATATATGTCTTATATCATTTATCCTATATTTTAAAATATATACTCAGAAAAATGAAAAGATAATGAACTGAACAGCCTTTCTAACTAGCAACCAGAGCAAGCCAGTCCCAAAGCAGCTTCCCGTTAACAGAATAGACCATTATTTTTCCAGGTTTTTAAGTGTATAGTAAAATCATACATTGAGTTTTGAGATTCATCCAGGGATTGTGTGGGCATTCTCATTGCTACATAGTTTTCCATTGTGTAAATATGCCATCAGTTATTTATCCTTTATACAGAGCCTCCTCAAATAACATCATTTGATTCACAGGTAACAAAGAGAAAATCTAGGCCATGTTCAACAAAATGATATTTAATAGCCTGGCTTCTATATAAAGTGGTAGTTCCCAAGAACCTATTGACAACTCTAAGTGAGGATTCAGCGTCCCATTTGGGTTATTTTAGGGTTGGAATTCTCATATATAGTGCTGCCTCAAGCATACTAGCACATGTCTTTTCATTATATTGCACACAATATAAAATAAAATACACACCATATAAATATAACATGTTGTAACAGAGACATTTCCATAAAAGGGAAAGGAACATTGTTCTCCATCCCACTTAATGAGGGGCAGTCAAGGAAAGCTTTACAGCACAAAAAGTGGGTTCTGGAGGGAGACTCGTGGAGAAGGGTTTTCTTGCTTCACAGCTTTGGACTAGCACCAGAGGTGGAAGGGGCTGGAGGAGACAAGTAAAGGAGATATATGTAGAGGCATGTGGAAGAGACACAAGGGTGAGAAACACTTGGGGAGGTCGACAATGGCAACCATTGTCTTAGATTTTGCTCCTTTCATCCCAGACTTCCCTGGATCCCTCTGCCCCTTTCCTGTGGTTCCCCAACAGAAGACACCTCAGATTTGTGACAAAATTTGGGACCTCTGTGGCCCTACTTTGGGTCAACCCTATTTGGCTGGGCATTTACCCATGAAGGGATGGGTAACTTTGGAGTATTTTATTGGGAAACTATTATCCTTTCCTCTCCATATATATACACACTGATCCTATTGAAGTTTTTCTACACTGAAAGTGTGCTTTTTCTTTGTGCACTGATGGTCTTACCTCTTCAGAACATGCAAATATGAGTGTCCTGAGATACCCCTTAGTCTGAGCTTTAATGTAGACACATATACATACATGCATACATAATTATTTAAATAGTATTTAAATTATAAGTAATGCCTGCTTCTATAAATAAAATTAAATGTATAACTGTCAATAATATTTCATCTATTTAAATCATAAATTAAACTATACAGTATGATTTAAATATGTATATATAAATATAAATGTAGTTTATAAATTATGAGTAACAATATCAATATATTTTAATATACAAGTAATACCTGATTATTATATAAAATTTGGTTTTATATATAAGTTTACTTTGTAATAGCAATGCCTGTTTTTTTATGTGTAAGGTGAATACATAGTTAGATATATTTTTTTTAGTTAATTTCCTTTCAGATAACTAATAATTTTGCTCCTTGTTCATGTGAACATATGTACTTATAGAAGGCTTTGGTTTAATATAGTTTTGTTATTTTCAAAACAAAAAACAAAAAGAGGCCCTCCCTGGTGGCGCAGCGGGTTAAGGCACTGCACTGAGAAACTAAAGCCACTTCCGCATGAGTTCGATCCCCGCCTGCCCCGGAGGGTGACCACATGGCGAGGCAGACCTCTCCTGACCCGCCCGCTGCTCCCCTCAGCAGTGTACTTCGTCGATCTGCCTGTTCTGCTTCCCGCTCTGTCTCTGGTGAATCCTCTCACCCTCCGCATCTCTGGCCTGTACCCCAGTTCTGTATGAATAAATAAATAAATCTTTAAAAAAAAAAAAAAGAAAAAAAAAAGAAAAATATTTTTCAAGGAATTTGCTTTTGCTTTATTTTTTCTCTTTTTCTTACTTAGTAATAAATCACAGATTTGCTTCCTGTAATGCTATAGCTTTAAACCCAAGCAGCACAATTTTCCACAGAACAGTGTTTAGTCAACTGCTCCTGTAGCAAACAACTTTCACAGGCTTCACCATTTCAGGTGATGTTGCAGTAAACAGGTTTGGACTTTGGGTTTCCACATTCACTTTTGGAGATTAATATCCCCAAAGTGTGGCTGCCTGTCAAAAGGCCCATGCCTTTTGAATTTAAACAGCCATTGCCAGATTACTTTCCAGAAAGGTTGCAGCAAATCATGCTTCCTCCTGCAAAGTGCCTGGTTGCCTAGGGATTGCTGTACAGATGAGCTTTTGTTTGCTAGTTTGGGTGACTCCAGATATGGCAGAGATGAGGGAAGAAGGGGAAGGGAAACCTTGCTTGAAATGTAAGCCAGTGAAATCCAATTATACTCATAGAAATACAGGCAGGATTTCAATTGCTCATTTCTTTTCATGAAGGCACAACACTTAAAGAAATGAGTACCCTGACAATTACTATGGAGCTTCTGGGACTTGAAAAATATATTTGCATGAACTATTGTTTCTCTTTCTACCTCTAACTCTCGGTGGGGATTCCTTTTCTTCTCAATTTCCTCCCTCTTTAAACCCCTTATGAACATTCTAATAACTCTGGTGGGTAGACTGCCCAGTCACAAAAGCTCTTTTTCTTGGTGACAAAACCGCCAGCCTTTTGTCAGCTTTCACCGGCCACTTTTGACATTCACCCTTCCCTGTGCTTGGGAGCTATGCACAATAAAACTGTTAAGATGTTCTGCAACCAAATCCTGGCTCTGCATCATGTCAGTTCTGAGGCTCAGAAAGCTTGGAAACTTCTGAACCTACAAAATAGGAATATTATAATGCCTGTTTCACAGCAGGTTTAAGTAAGGTTGTGCACATGAAGTGCTTAAAATTTGCTATGCATACAATATATTTCAGCCATTTTTATTACAGGGCACTAAAAAATATGGTGTGTCTTTTTAAATACCTTCAGTCTCTCTTTGTTCCCCTAAAGATTTCTTGTTATCACATTCAAGCTCAGTGTCCAAACACAAATCCCCAGTTATCTTCTCTAGTCTCTTGTTTTCAGAGAAGTCAAGTATCAGCTTTAAATTGAGCTTGATACAGAATAAAGAATGTGATGTCTACACTTAAAGGATCTGGTTTCAAATCCATACTATGCTATGCCAGACCCCATAAAGAGATATATGTAACAGTATAATCCCCCTATGCAGGATTACAGAAATCCCCAGAGGGGATTATAGAAAGGGGAGGTTCCAAGATAGGGTGGAGCTGAGCAGTGAGGGGAAGCTAGAAAAAAACTGGAAAAAGGATTTAGGAATAAGAAGATTTGGAAGAGGCATGTGGAACAGAGAGACATGTGAAGAAGCAGCTATCACTTCTCAGCCTTGGACTTGGACCAGGGAGTTGGGGGACATGGAAGGAGACAATTAAAAGAGACAGATGTGAAAGTGGGAGACTCTTGAGGAGACTGGCAATGGCAGCCTTTATCTTGACTTGGATTTTGATTTTGCTCTTTTCCTTCCAGACTTGTCTGGTCTCTTCTGCCCCTTTCCTATGGTCAAGCTTCTGGGACTCAGTAGACCTACTTTGGGCCAACCCTGTTGGGCTGGGCATTTACCCCAAAAGCAATAGTAACTGAATTTTTTATGGAGAAGCCATTTTAATTATAGTCTTTCTCCTCTCTCCATTGCTCATTAGTTGTATTGTTAGGGGGGAAAGATGTCCTAAATGAACTCTACAGGTACAGGTTTTATGGTACCACTCCTACTCCTCTTTAGAGTGTGCAGGTTTGGGAGTTCTGGAGTGCCCCCTCAGTCTTCCTGCTAATAGATTTGATGCCCAACATAGAAGGGATATTAAAGTCATCTGTAGTTAATCAGTCCTACGGGGGAAAAGTTGGTGTCCCTGTGGCACTTGCTACCAGAAACACAAATGTGGTTTTTGTTCTTTTAGTGCATTAGTGTTTTAGCTATGTGTAGATTTGTTCCTAACCCTATGTCACAGTGCAGGGAAATAAAATAATTTCCATATGAAACACCCAAAAGTTATGTGGGTAAATACCCAGTGAAACAGGAGGACCCAAAGGCCCAAAAGCTTGCCACCTCTAAGGCACCTTCTGGTAGGGCAGAAAGGGACAGAATTCCTGAAAAGCAAAATCAAAATACAAGTCAAGATAAAGGCTGTCCTTGTCAACCTCCCCATGGACCTCTCACCCATGTTGTAAGTTTCATGTGTCTCCTTCCATGTCTCCCAAGTTCCTGGTATAAGTTCAAGACCCAAGAAGCAAGCACAGCTTCTTCCCATGTTTCTCTGCTCCACATGCCTCCTGCCAAGTCTACTTCTTGCTCTCCATCCTTCCTTCTTCCAGGCTTCTCTTGCTCGATCCTCCCTTGTGTGGCACAGGGAACCTGGAATCTCCCTTTTTCCTGTTTCATTTATATTAGAAAAACTGACTTTGATCTTGTAGAAACTTTGTGCATTTATGTGAATTTGTTTCTAGTCATCGGTTCAGAAGTCTGATTTTGTAGAAATTGTTGTGTGCAGTAGTAAACAGTTTTAGTCAAAAGGTAGTATTAAGTTCAAACCACATGACTAGATCAAATATGGAGTACACTCTTCTTGACTCTGTTTCCAAGATGGAATTTGAGGCCATATGGTAGGCTGCTTTGGAAACTCAGAATTTTTGATGACTTTTTTTCATTTTGGTCTCCCGCTAAGATTATGCTTTCTACTTATGCCATCGTTGGTTAGCCTAAATTCAATTCAGTGACTTGGGGCTCTGTTTGTGATCTTTGCTAGAACATGGCCCTAGTTAGCAATCCTGAAGGTAGGTTTGCTTTATTCTGTCCCTAATATTGCCTATCTATCCCAGCTTCACCTGGTGATTAATGTCAATCAAACTTACCCCCCAGGGCTGTGGTGCAGCTTAAGACATAAGTAGAAAGGACGTAGAAATTGGAACAGTATTTTAGAAAAGTTTGGTATTATGTTGTAAAGTTGAAAGCAGTTAAATTCTACTTGTCAGTAGACTTCTGAGTCTGTGTGGAAAGAAAATTCACACACATACCATGGTTCATGTGTTAGAAGATCCATAGTAAATTGTTCATAATTGTTTCATTTTGGAAGTAACTCAAATACCACATCTACAGTAGAAAAACCATATCATATTCACAGATTATACAGCAACAAAAATGAAACACAGCAAATAGGTGAATTTTGTGAAAACAATGTTGATGAAAAAGCCAAATGCAAAAATACATATTGATTACATTCAACCTTCAAATCCAGGACAGCAAATAACTCTGTTGTTTAGGGATATACCTACAGATATAACATTGCAAAGAAAAATCAATTACTGTTACAAAAAGTAAGAGAGTAGTTACATATTGGCTGGTGGGAGTGGGACTGTGCTTGGGCAGGATCATAGATGGGCTTCTGGGTAATAGCAATGTGTTGTCTTTTCATCCAGACATTAATTATGTGAGTTTTTATAATTTTTTAAAATTGTGACTGTATAAATTTCTCAATTAAAAAAAAAAAAGATCAACATCCCCCCCCCCCAAAAATGTGTGGACAGTGGTTGCAACCTAAGAGCAGTTCCCATAAAATGTCAGTTCTAATATATTCAATGAATCCTCAAAAACATATCTTTTTTAGAAAGGTTTATTTATGCATATAGAACTGGGGTACAGGCCTGTGGTACAGGGGTGGTGAGAGGATTCACCAAAGACAGAGTGGGGTCAAAACAGGCAGACTGACAAAGTACACTGCTGAGGGAAGCAGTGGGTAAGACAAGAGAGGTCCGCTGTGCCATGAGGGTCAGCTCATGGGGAAGCTGCAGCTGGGGAAGCTGCTGTGGATAGCTTTGTGGCACTGTGCTTTAACCCATTGAGCCACCAGGGAGGGCCCAAAAATAAATCTTAATGGCAGGGAAATTTATTCTTAATTCCAAATAGCCTTACCTCTTCTTGTGGGAGGTTTTCTTAGAGTGCATCAACAAACATTCAACCTTCCTAACAAGTGCAAAATGAGATTCATAAGTTTCCCCCTTACCTAGTTATCAGCTAACTTCTCTGTGTCACTCTAACTCAGCTCATATCATCCTTGACATTTTTGCCCACTCTCCTCCCCCATCAATTTCCCCTCAGTTCCCTTCCTCTACCAGAGTCCCCAAAGTGGCAACTGCCCTCAAAATTTCATCTTCCCAGGCCTACCTAGTGGCATAGGGGTTAAGTATCAGCACTATTACTGATATGGACTGAATGTGATCCCCAGCCAGGGAGCTGACCTGCATGGAACAGCAGACATCTCCTGTCTCATCCACTGCTCCTCTCAGCAGTGTATTTCAGCAGAGCTGCCTGTTCTGCTCCCCACTCTGTCTCTGGTGAATCCTCTCATTCCCTGCACCTCTCACCTACACCCTATTCTTTAACACAACACCCCCTAAAACAAGTTCCTCTATCACCTTCAATTGACCAACCGTTCAATTGGGGCTCTCAATCACTCTTTCTGTCAGTCTCCCTCCCAGGGCTTTCACCACATTGTGCTCCTCCAGGACAATTCTGTGAGATCCTAGTACCAACTTCTTAAAGATAAAAGTTCAACCTTTCTTTTTAGACTTAATTTTGTGGATTTAGATTAACACACAAATCTCTAGGGTTTGTTCTTTGGTGTGTCAGCAACCCCCACCCACCCCCACCACTTGATGTTGTTTTATTAGGTGTGCTTTTTCATATCTCCACTGAAATCACCAATTAATGTTTGATGGCCCAGAATGATTGAGCCATGAGGTGGTCTGTGTCTGCCCACTCTTCAGAAACTGAAGGAGGAGAGAGGGAAGAGGGCCATGGCCTTGCAGGGTGGAGGGGAGGTAGATACTATACACTGGGAAGGAGGCATTTGTCTAAATTGTATTTTATCCAAATCTCAGGTCTTTAGTGGAAAGGAGCAGGGCAGAAGTCAAGTATTGAAGAAACTGGCACTTGTCCAGTACCCTGCTATTCTTAAGAGACCCACTAAGGGGTTCACTTTGAACTCCATCAAAACAAGAACCCTCTGAATGAGCTCCAGAGCTCAGGCACTTACTCGTTTTGAAGCCCGCAGGTTGGATAACAGAAACTTTAACTCCCCATTTGGAAAGTTCTTGTCTCATGACAGATGAAAACATGGTCAGAGCTGCCTTGGATGAGCCATACGCTGCCAGCCATGGCATGGGGGCGCCTCCTGTGGGATTAATAGCAAGGGGGTGGGGAACAGGGATGTTTTCATTTGATTCAGTAGATACTTAGAGAGCACCAACTGCAAGGGTAGAAATTGGCTATCGGGGTAACTAAGGCAGATACTGGACATACTTTCATTTCAAAGTACTATCTGGCTTCCTTTCCTTCTACCTTCTTGACTTCTCCATCATAGCTCACCCAGTAGTAAACCAAGTATAACCAAGTATAAGGTGCCATCTCTCCCATCTTCTAAGCTATTGCAATAAATGTGATTTAAGTAGGATAAAGAACATTGGTCCTGGGCTCTGACCAGCCAGTTGGGTTCACTACATTCGGAGATTCCAGATGGATGTATCTTTTATTGGGACTGTGGGAGGGCACTGTTCAACCTGTTACAGCACCTGTAGTTGAACAAATTGACTGATATTTGTTACAACAAGGAGTAACAAACACACACCTTGGGCAACTGGGAGCAAATGTTCCTTATCCCATCTAAATTGCTTGTATATTTGAAGGTAAGTGAGAATGAACAAGTTTGTTCATGAATCAACTGTGAGAGATAAATGAGGGAAGCAAAGGAAGCCAGAAAAGGGCAGTTACCTTTTGGAGTAAGGGTCTAAGGTAATTAAGGTTTGGATCTTAAGATGAGACTATCCTATTTTAGGATGGGCCCTAAGTCCATGGGTGGGTATCTTTATAAGAGAGAGGAGAAAAGACACAGGGAAGAAAAGAAAGCTAAGTGAAGATGGAGGCAGAGACAAGAGTAATGCTTTTATAATGCTTTTATTATTAGAGTAATACCTGGGATGGCCAGAAGCTGGAAAAATACAAGGAGAAATTTCCCAATTTCAATTATGAAAAGAGCATGAACATTGAAATTGAGATACCTGGAATAGTTGACATCAATATTATCACTAACCTGACATTATTATTATTATTATTGACTTTTTTTTTGCCCCAGGCCCCCTCTCCTTCTAGAGGGCTGTCAGTCTGTGATTTTTAATTTTATCCTTCCAATTAGGAGAGGCTGTGATGTTGGGATTTATCAGAAAAAAAAAATATATATATGGTGTTTTTTCCTAATACCATTGGAATTTAGAGTTCCTAAAAACCACTGGAACTTCCTAAGTGAAAAGAACTTATAGGTATCTTTTGTTATGTTAATGAGGTGGTCTTTAAAATTACCCCAGGTAGCCACAGAATGAAGATTGGTGCCAAGGAAACCTAACTCTTGATTAAGGAGTTGGAACTTTCAGCCCCATACCCTGACCTCCAGGGAAAGGAGCTTGTGATTGAACCTAATACAATGACCTATAGTTGATGATTTTATCAATCCTGTCAAAGGAATGAAGGCTCCATAAAAATCCAGGTTAGCAGACATGTAGAGTGACTCACCCTGAAGAGGGCATGGAAATTCCAGGTACCTAGCTATCTTCCCTAGGCATCTCTTCCATCTGCCTGTTCCTGAGTGAAATCATTTATGACAAACCAATCATCAAAAAATGAAATGTTTCTCTGAGTACTGTAAGCCACTCTAGCCAAGTAATTAAATCCATGGATGGGGGTCTATGGGATCCCTGATTTATCACCAGCCAGAAGCACATGTAACAACCTGGGCTTGTGATTGGTCTCTGAACTGGAAGGAGGGCACAGATGTTGTGGGACTGGACCCCTAACCTGTGGTGTTTGATGCTATTTCCAGGTAGACAGCATTCAAATTGAGTTGATCTGTGTCTGAGCACTGTGGGATGGTTTGGGGGAACACTTACCCTTATGTATACAAACATGAAGTTGATCTCATGCATTTAGAAGCAAACTGACCTATCAACACCCAGTCTCCTGTACACGGAGTCCTCATATGGATGTGAAAAGGGAGATGATTTTACCATTTATTCCTGGTGATATAGGTGGAATGTAGAAACTAATTCCCAGGGGCCATTTTTGCTACTGCTTAAGAGAAGATGGTGAGAGAAAAGAAAGCAGAAAGTTAATGGAGTGGGGTCAGGAGGAAACAGGGAGTAGAGGTGGGGGACAGTTACTAAGTTCTCATCATTAAACCATAGTGAGTCAGCTGCTCTTCAATTTCTTGCTCAAGTTCCTTTGGGGTTTGGCCCTGAAACTTACCAGGAAGATTAGAAATATTGAGACTGGATACAAAGAATTTGTATCTCAGCAGGAAGAATAGGAGTATGAGACTTGTTTAATACCACTCTAACTTTCCCTCCAATGGAAATAGATAACAAAAGATACAATGTTCTGTCTTGGAAAAGCTTTAAAGTTGCAATGTGACTAGGCTCCTATGCTTTGTGAAGTCTTCTCTTCCCCATCCATTCATCCATTTTTACTTAGTTGTACACTTGCATTTCTTCATTTTTTAATTGAACATCTACTACATCCCAGACAGTGGGCCTACATAGAGCATAGTGTAAGCATAGAAGTGAAAACTAAGGTAAAATTTTATGAATGAATGAGCTACTCAAAGTTGAGAACAAAGAAAAAAAATTCTGTGCGATTGTGTCAAGGATAAGGCAATGATCAAACATTTCAGTAAATATTTATTGAATGAGTAAGACAAGGAGCATATGAGAATCTTCCAGAAATACCAGATTGTATTAGGTTAAATTTCCTCACAGGTCAAACATTTTAAAGTGAAGGTCAGAGCAACATTAAGAGTGAAATAGAGCAAATACATTTTCTCTGGATGTGCTTCTTTAGCAAGGTAGCAAGAAATTAAAATACTCCAGGGTTCACAAATAAATTAAAATATAACACTCTGCTCTTAAACACTCTAGATGCCTCTCTCCTGCCTACTCCTGCTCCCTTCCTCTTTTCCTTCCTTGATTTATGTCCCTTCCCTCCTTTTTTTCCCATTCTACTTCATCCCTCTCTCCCTCCCTCCTCCTTTTTGCCTTCCCTTCCTTCCTCTTCAAGTTAGCCAAAAATTTTAGTGACTTTCACTTATACAGCAATTCATATCAAGGTGGTTACTGGGGTAAAGCTAGGATTGACAATTACAATTGACAATTATGTAGGAAATAAAAACTCATCCTCCAAATTCTTAAGAATTTTTGTTTATATTTAAAAGAATAGTTGTGCCCTTTATTAGAAACAAAATTTAGAGCCAACTGATGAAACAGGAAAGAGTGGTATTTCTCTCTTCAAGGCCAGGTCCTAGAATTCAGGGCCCATGGGTTTTCCCTTCTCTTTCATCCATGCATGGTCCAAAAGACAACCTTACAGTCATTACTCAAAGATGAGTAAGTCTTTGAAAGAGCCCAGTGCAAAAATGTCAGTTTTCAAAGAAAGATGGGACATCACATGGGCATTGTTTACAGAAAAGAAGATTGTGAAGCCTTGTGTGAGGCAGTGCACTATTTATTCTTTGAAATAAAAAGAGATCAGTTACTGAACATCACACCTTGAACTAGTAGCCTCGAGACTGTAAAAGGAGGAGGATGATTTAGTAAAAAACACTAGTAAGCAGCCAATGGAGGTAGATAAGAGCCAACAGAAGCAGGGTATTTTCTGATTTACTTATCAGGAGTGGCGTATCATGCTGAGTTGTGGGGGGGGAGGTGTACTTGAAACAGGTTCCCTGTAGTGCTAATATTGATGACATATAGTATATCCTACCCAAGTCTAGGGCATCTGTGCATTGACGATCACGCTGTGAAAATACATAAGAATCTTAAATACCCAGTGCTGAATAGATGAATCAGAAGATAGATGAGAGTTGTACAAGAACAGATTTTGAAAGGAAAGCTTTATTGTATTAAGATCAACAATAAATACAAAACTTGACTAATCTTGGTCCAACCCTGCATGAGCATGTTTGCTTTCTTGCTGAGCATAAAAAGAATGTGGCAAGCTACACCTTGTAAGCCAAGCACTATATGACTTTTGGAGAAAGACAACTCACCTGCCATGCTACTGATGTTCACCAGCCTCCCCCTGGATTTCCTAAGAAGAGGCAGAAATGCCTTGGTGACTTCCACTGCTCCAAAGAAGTTCACAGCCATGCATTGTTTGTACCCATTCATGGGAATGAGCTCCCCGTCACCTGGTAAGCCTAAGACTCCGGCATTGTTGATCAGAGCCCACAGTCCTAAGGACAGAAAGGAGATCAGGAAGACTTTTAGCAGTACATCACATCTGGAATCGGACAGCCCCTTAGAGATTTAGGTTCCAGGCAGATGACTAAAATTCTTGAACCTCAGTCTCCCTGAATATCTAAAACCACTGTCTTAGGAGGTGGTGTGGAGAGTAAATTTGTATAATATTAGGTTATGTCTGGAGAGGTATTCTCTTTTACTGCTAAGCCCTTCCCTACATCCGGGCAGCTAGATATTTGCTTTGTTTGGGGAGGGAAGACCAAAAAAGACAAGAGTAATAAGAGTCTCCCTCCTCAAAGGCACATTTAGGACAATGCAAGATGATAAGATCACTTCTTCCCTGCTCCCTAGAGTAGAAAAGGTTTCAGAGTCCTGGGAAGCAGGAAATTAAGAGATGAGTTACTGAGACCACTTGACCCCTGTTTTACACCCAAATAACTAGGAGGATTTGTTTAAACACAAATCATTGGGCCCCAAATGCCAGAGAATCTGATTTTGTGTCTCTGGAGTAGATCCATGAATCTTCATTTCTAACAAGATCCCAGGTGATGCTGAAGCTGCAGCTCTGAGCCACACAGCTGAGCCACTGCCCACAGGCCATGCTTTCCAACCTTGACTGAACATTAGCATCACCTGGGTGGTGGTGGTCAGTATGATGTTTAAAACCCCAATGTCCAAACCACATCCCAGCCTATTAAATCAGAATGTGGGATGGAAAAGAAGGAGAGGGGATGTTGGGCATTCGCAATTTTTCAAATTTTCCAGATGGTGCCAATGTACAACTAAGCTTGTGTATCACCACCCTAAATAGTAGGAAAGAGTTAATAAATAAACTACAGATGTTTTGAGGGTAGGGGATGGGGCAAAGGAGAGTGCCAGGTCCTCTTTACCTGAGAAGAACAGTAACAGGACCACGGGTATATACCCAGGACCTAGGCAGACCTGAAACAGATGCTTGGAATAGCCCTAAGATTTTGGCACTTTAGAATGGAGGTTCTCAAGGTGTGGTACAAATCTACAGTATCTGCATTAACTTATTAGTTGACAATTTGTTATATATGCAAATTCTGCCACCCTACCTCAGAACTTCTAAATTAGAAACTGTTGTTGAAGTTCAGTTCTGGGATCTGACTTGTCCTCCAGTGACCCAAAGTCACACTCTGGCCTGAGGACCTGTGATGTCTTATGTGAATGCATGTTGATACAGGAACAGTTTGTATGGCCTCATGGATAGCAGGTGGAAACAGCTATAGGAATCCTAACAGAGCCTCTTCAGGCTTTCAGGGGGGTAGGCAGCAGTCCACCTGCAAGAGGATCAGACAGTGTTGGACATCCTGGTGGACCAGCATGAAGCATTGTTGGTCAAAGACTATATGTCCCAACCCTGGAAATGTAGATGTTACCAGTGACTGTCAATCCCATTTGGCAGAAAGAAGGCTCCAAACAGAAAGTGAGTTGAGTTCGAGAAAATAAAGCTCTATTTCTGCACATTTGAATAGGTGCTCTGACATTTATAAAAATAATTATTGAAAACATTAAGTGAGATGGTGCGTGGCTCCTTATAAGAGCTGGACAGCTATTATGAACAGAATGGTGGTGTGGAGGGATGTCTTCTTTTTAACAATGGATCATTTCCATTCACTCAGTCTGAGCTCACTTGTGACCTGTCAATGTGCTGACCCATCACAATGGACTTCGGTAATAAGGCATTAATACTTAGGTGATTGGTAGCAGTTGGTATTAATTCATAATTAACAGTATGTTCATTCTAAACAATACACTTTATAGAAACTGCACAATTGCTGGCCCTCTTCCAGGAGAGTTTTTTGGTTTATTGGCAATTATGAACTCCCCTATTTCACTGTTCCCACTCATCTTAGAGAAACTAGGTTGAGAGAGCCTTTGAGAACATGAAAAAGTTATGTTGGTAATCCTTCCCAGGAAGTCTCCTTCCTTCCAGAATGTTGGCCCCAAATCAGAAGGAGTGATAATATACTAGGACATGTCCCTGGTCTGTCAAGCACACCCCTTCACCAAGGGAGACAGGCATGGTCTCACCATATCTATAACCTATTCCTTTATCAAGGGTTGATAGACCATTCTGTACCATGCTCTGCACCAAGGTGTCCCCAAATAAAACACAACAAAGTCTCACAGGAGGGACAAGCTCAGTCCTGTCAGACAGCAAAGACCTGGGGACAGCAAACTGCCCCTCATATGCTGGCCCATCCCTCAACTTGCTAACATGAATCCCAGATAACCCACAATCTATTTCTCTCCCCCTCTCACCTGTGAGTGTTGAGTACTTACTACATACATAGGCACCACGCTTAATGTTGGGTGAATGGAAAATAGGTGTCCTTGCTGAATGCCTGCTGAGTGCCCAGGACTCATTCTAAGTGCTCTCTATATAATCCTCCTCCTCTGACTATCAAATGAAGCAGAAACCATTTATTTCTTGGTGCTGAGATCTCTGCTGTAAAAAAAAAAAGGATAAGTGGGAAGTGCCTGAAACATCCACAAAGTGGATGAAGTTTCACATGGGACCAGCAGGAAGAATGATCAGAGAAGCAGGGGGACCCCAAACAGGGGAGGGTAGTTAACATGGGTAAATGCTGCAGAATGGTCAAAAGCTTGGTGGCTGGGAGCAACAATGGGCAACCAGACCAGTCAGGCAGGCCTGGAGAGAACCAACATCAGGTTGGTGGAGGGCAATTGGGTTCCAAATCCAAAGTGCTGGGCCAAAAAGAAGGAGAAGAGACAGGGCAGTGGCTGGGGGAGGTCTGTGATTCAGAGGCTATTTTTAAGTCTATTTGGTTGAGAGGGAAAAAATGAGGAAGAGGCAGATGATAAGAAGCAGAAGCATGGCCCAGACCTGATTCTTGCTACTGTAGCCCACATCTAGTAGGTGTTCAACAGGCTTATTGCAGGGGAGCTCCCAGAGGGGCACAGGAGACAGGTAGTCACCAGCAGGAACCAGAGGGTGCTGGTGAGGAGGGCAAAGAGCGATTTAGGACTTTGGTAGTTACACGGGCAGTACCTCTGTTCTGCACCTTCTCCACCACTTTGCTGAAGGCGTCTTTTATCTGCTCTGGGTCAGTGATGTCCAGCTGGAGCACGGTGAGACACTTGGAGCAGGTTCTCCGCAATTCTTCTGCTCCTGAGCCCTGTGCATTCAAAACTCCAGCAAATACGGTAAAACCCAGCTGGTCCAGATGCTTGCACAAGGCGTTGCCAATCCCGGAATCACTACCTGCATTACAAAAGAAGCTTAAGCCAAAATGAAGGGAGAAATAATTTTATGAAGAAAACAATGCTTGCTGTTTATTGATGTCCATGTTCTTGGAGAGAATGAGTATTGACGTTTCTTTATTTGCTAAGTGAGACATAGGCAGACAAGCCAAAACAAAAAGAAAAAGGTGAAGTAGAATTTGGGGTGAGGGCATAACTGAAAGACTGATACTCCAAAAGTCAAAGAAGGAAGGAAAACCAATACACTAAGGGGGATATTTTCATTCCTTTCTGATGAGCGGTGTAACCAACCTCTTGAGCGGTGTAACCAACCTCTGTAACATCTTCAGAAAACATTCACTACAAACTCATACTTAGTTTTATGTTTTGGAGATGTTTGGGTCTTGCTTCAAACTGGACACAAGGTAACCAGAGAGGCTGCTAAGAGGATCCAGGTCCTTCTGATCATGAAAAATGAAGGTGGTGCTTACCTTCCTCATTTCTCAGCTCTTTCCCCAAGCTGTTGAATAGACATCAACCTTAGAAAACAAACTAGCTACCAAAACCAGATAGAATGCTAGAAATCAGGGAAAACTGAGCATAGCATAAGACATAAAATGCTTATTTTATGTATCAGGTCTCCTAGATCTGAAATGGAGGCTTATTCCAACCCAGTCTGGACAGGATCACGGACCCTGGAAAAATGGCTTTGCAAAACATGACACTGAAGATGAAGATATCACAGACAGAAATACACCCTCTAGGTCACGCTAGATCAAACAGGTTACAGCTCTCTACACCTTCCAACATAAGAGGTCATCTCTCTTTGGCTGCAGTGTGGTTCCTTCCTAAAAACCTTGGAGGATCATGCTTGCCAGTCTTGGGAGCTGTCATTAGATGTCCTCTCTTCTCACCCTGCTATCCAAGAACTGGGAAACCCCAACTCAGAATATGCTGAGAATCAACCTAAGAATCAAATTGTGAGTGATTAAAAAAAGAAGTCCAGCTTCAAAATGAACAACACCTTCTTGGAGTCTGAGCACAGGTAGTACTGACCCCCCC